GAATGACCAGAAGCCTTGAATTTAGTTATCTTAAGGAACGCGGTGGGTTGTAGGGCGAAAGAAGGTCCGTTAAGTACATAGGTGCTAAATCATTTAGGGCTTTATAGGTTAGTAGTAGTATTTTGTAATTGATACGGAACTTAATAGGTAACCAGTGTAGAGATGATAAAATCAGTGTTATATGATCATATTTTCTTGACCTAGTAAGAACTCTAGCAGCTGCATTTTGTACTAACTGTAGCTTGTTTATTGAGGATGCAGGACAACCGGCTAATAACGCATTACAGTAATCTAGTCTCGAGGTCATGAATGCGTGAACTAATTTTTCAGCATCAGAGATAGATAGCATGTTACGTAGCTTAGCAATGTTTCTAAAGTGGAAAAAGGCTGTTCTTGTAACATATGAAATATGATTTTCGAAAGACAAGTTGCAGTCTAATATAACACCCAGGTCTTTTACTGTAGTGGATAAAGTAACAGGACATCCGTCTATATTAAAGTTGTACTGTAAGAGGTTTTGTGAGTAGTTTTTTTGGACCAATAAGTAACACCTCCGTTTTATCTGAATTTAATAGCAGGAAATTACGCGTCATCCAGCATTTTATATCTTTGAGACACTCTGTCATTTTAGATGAGTTAGTGTTTTCATCTGGTCGCGATGAAATATATAATTGAGTGTCGTCAGCGTAACAGTGGAAATTAATTCCATGTTTTCTTATAATATTACCAAGTGGCAGCATATATTGAGAATAGCAGAGGGCCTAAAACCGATCCTTGCGGTACTCCATAGTCTAACTGACGTTATCTTTAATTTTTTCCCATTTAAACAGACAAAATGATAACGGTCCGATAAGTACGATCTAAACCAGCTTAATGCCGGTCCCTGAACACCAGTGTAGTTTTGTAGTCGATCCAAGAGTATTTTATGATCTATAGTGTCGAACGCAGCGCTAAGATCAAGTAGGACTAGTATTGAGATACAGCCTTGGTCAGAAGCTAAAAGTAAATCATTTGTAATTTTAACTAGCACAGTTTCTGTACTATGATGCGGTCTGACTCCTGACTGGAATTTTTCATAGATATCATTTTCTTGCAAAAAAGAGCACAATTGAGCGGATACAACTTTTTCTAGTATTTTGGACATAAATGGAAGATTAGAAATGGGTCTGTAATTTGCCAAGTTATTTGCATCTAATTGTGGTTTCTTAATGAGAGGTTTTATTACTGCCAGCTTGAATATTTTTGGAACATGACCTAAAGATTAAGACGAGTTAATAATATTGAGGAGAGGCTCTTCCACTACAGGTAATAGTTCTTTCAGTAGTTTAGTGGGTATCGGATCTAATAAACAAGTTGTTGGTTTAGAAGCAAATAGTCGTCATCGTAATCCAGATTTCCCCAGTCAAAGTCCTCCATCCTGCTGAGTCCTCAAGTTGGTTGGATCTTTCTGTCACGATACACTTAACAAAAGTGAAGGGAAGGACTCAAGTGCAGTGAAGGGATGATTTATTAACAAAACAAAACACAAAGCAAAAACCCACAAGGGGGAAAACATACTCAATAAAATATAAAACTGAACTTAAACTGCAATACAATACCCTGCCCATGAATACCACAGAAGAACAGGGGGGATATAAGACAAAGATCCAACCAAGACTGCAAACATGAAGGAACTTAAATAGGGAACAAATCAAGAGGGAACAGGTGGGAGAACTCAAACACTAATCAGGTAACGAGGGGGAGGATCAAACACTGACACGAGCACATGGCTCAACATAACAAAACCACCCATGCGCTAACAGACAGGACAGACACGTGACAGAGTATTTGTGGCATGTTTCTGTATTTGATTGTATTGTGAGTATATTGTGGCATGTTTCTGTATTTGTGTTGCGAGTATTTGGAGCATGTTTCTGTATTTGATTGTATTGTGAGTATATTGTGGCATGTTTCTGTATTTGTGTTGCGAGTATTTGGAGCATGTTTCTGTATTTGATTGTGTTGTGAGTATTTGTGGCATGTTTCTGTATTTGTAGCACACATGTGTTGTGAAACTGATGAAGATGTTTTCTTAATTTGTGGGTGTTTTTCTATTTGCATGTTTCCTTCATTTGCAACGCATTGAGCTCTCTCTGCAACCATTTTCTTTTCATCAAAGAACCTGCAAAATTTATAATATTTTTTACATAAACATTAAGCAATAACTTATAACATTTTTAACATTAATAATAATTTGGAATATTTCTTGAGCATCAAATCAGAATATTACAATGAATTCGGAAGGATCATTATGACACTGAAGACTGGAGTAATGTTGCTGAAATTATGTATTTTTTTAAATATATTAAAAATAGAAAACAGTTATTTAAATTGCAATAAAAATTCAGTTATTCCTATTTAGATCAAATAAATGCAGCTTTGGTGAGCAAAAGCGACTTCTTTCAAAACTATATCTTACTGACCCCCAAAATTTTGAATGTAGTGTAAATAAAAAAAAAAAGATTTAAAAAATACGTTAACACTCTGATTAATGAATCTCAGAACAACTCCCCATCAATAATTTACAACAGAAAACATACTTGAATCACTGAAATGTAAATTCATCAATAATTCGTGGAAGTGTAATAAAATTGAAATACAAAGAAAACACTATTTAGAGAAAGCACGGTTAAAAGTAGAAATCACTGGTGAATAAGTCTCATGATATCGTTTACATCCTTTTGGGTCTGCAAAAACAATGGTATTTACTGGTATTTTGAAAAGTTTTGAATGAAAATAACATCCTAAAAGGAAAAGAAAGTGGGGTGGGTAGTGGGCAGTTTGAAACGAAGCCAAGCATTGAGGTCATAACTGCCCGTTCTGATAACAATCATCAATGAGATAATGAGACAACACAGCTGATCAGCAGGAAATAAACATGGGAACACAAACATCTAATCAGCCACCAACCTCCATAGTTAAGAAAGCTAGTTGATTATTTAGATTACATTGGGGGGCCTGAATAAATTCAGAAAGCCACCCACAAAGAGGGCCTCTATCAGACCAGCTCCTCAAACAAGCAGAAGCCATGGAGATATGAGTCGCCTCACAACAATGGAAGTGTGGCTTAGAGATATAGGAACTTCAGGAGCGTATTTGCTTACAAGGCTCCTGGCCAGCACCAACGCTCAGAGAATACTCACTGACCACACACGGGCTCACCAAATCACTGTTTGTTTAATCGTCATACATTACGGGACTAATCTTTCTCTTATCTCTATTTTTAAACAGGACTAATGAAATTTTCTCAAAAGGGGAGTCAAAGCATGAGTGTGGAATAAAGCACACTCTCTCTTTCGCTGGACTGAGGAGTACAGTGCTCAGAGCAGGGTTTGTTTTGGGTGTGTGTGATGAAGTTTGAGGGGGCGGGAGGGGGCTCTGGCCCTCGGCCGAGACGGATGACTATTGTGTGTGCAAGAAGGAGTGTGTGCGGAGGGTGCTGGGCAATTTAAGACAGCGTTTAGCATGCAGAGCCAGACAGGGCAAATCAACCTGACTGCACACAATCATGAGCCTTGAGCTACAGAGAGAGAGAGATGGAGAGAGAAAGAGATAAACAACCAAATGGAGAGAGAGAAAAACGGAGGAGAAGGGACACTTTTGTGACGAATAACGGGAATATTGCCAATGTAAGACATAAAATCCAAGGCTAAAGTGTTGTATTTCAGTATTTGGCTGCTGACTTGTAAAATAGTTTTAATAGTAGGAAAATGAGGCTGTTGTTTTCCATATAACACTGGGATTCCTTCTTTGAGAACTATGATGTCCAAAAGGGGAACAAGACAAAACTATAGAAAAGTGTCTATATAAAAAAAAAAAAAGAGGGAGTGAAAGATTAAAATTAGTCTGAATAAGGCCCACACCCGGCCCCTTTCATTTGACCCAAATCAGGCTTTTGTGAGGCTCTGTAAAGTAGTGTCAATCATTCTGCTGGTGTATTATCAGAGAAGAGAATTTTTTTTATGAATTCACTCTTCGCAAATTAAAAAGACCTCCTGCTCTAAGTGCTGAAATAGGTAATACAGATAGAAGTTAGACATCACAATGCCACTCGTACACTGGAGCGACATCAAAGTGCCCAAGACATCCAATCAGATTTATGTTGAAGGCACAATGTGATGAATATGGTGTAGCTCTCACACAAAAGTGCTTTTGTGTCACTTAAATCAGAGGCCATTCAAAATCAGCACGGGTCTGTCTGATTGGATGATGGCGAAAGGCCTTACAGTGCATCCAAACTTCACACGCACAATAGAAAATGCTAATTTTCATGCACTCAGAAGCTTGGTGCTTGGTTGACTCACATTTGAAGCACTTTGAAGGATGTCATTTGAAGTAAGAATAGATCTGCTTTTTGCACGATCCATTTTAAATGGGGAGAGTTTGATCTGCACAAACCTATAAGTCTCCTTCTCTTTGCTGATAAGACGCCTGTATATAAATATCTGAAAGAAAAAAGTGAACAGGAAAACAGACATTTTGGATGCCCTCCAGGACAGTTAGTTCATCACCATTAGTCTTCAGTTGACGTCTATTCACAGCCTCCATAGGTTGGTACGGACACATTGGTTACAGTACAAAGGTATTCGGGGGTTATAAATTGCTTTACACTCCAACTTTTTTGTTGTTGCTTAAAAATTAACTGTTCACACACTGTAACCCAAGGTTGTGTCCCGTCTACAGCTGCCTGTCACTTTCCTTTGTACTTATACAGTAAATGACTCCCATTAATTAAACCATGTTGACATACTCAAAGCCACTTCTTTTAGACATTTGAAATCAAGATAAAGTGTTTGGTTGTAGTGGTTATTTCCACATAAATCAGCACTTTTATATTACTTAACTATCTACATTTGTGTAAACTGCATTTCTGCAGTAAACATTTATTTTTAAAACCATATTGGCTTTATAACATATTTGGCATTGGATGATTTCAAACACACACACACAAGGCAATTATCTGAATAAATAAAGTCTTTATTTTACATAAAATAGGTTTTCTCTTATAAAAAATTGCATATACACAAGTTTGTAGAAAAACACACAAGTGCACACTTTGATACAAAAGTTATTCATCCAGTACAAAAATGCTGTCACATATCTAGAACAAAATATTATAATATACAGGTTGCATGTGGGCTGCCTAGTGTAACGTTCCCTAACAGAAGGCGTTTATGGGACCTGATACTATTTTTCCTCATTCGTTTATCTACAACTGGTCACCTCTTTATTTGTACTATGTGGAAGGAACGGACTGTCTCATTCAGTCGCATTTACACATTATTGCATCAACAGGGCAAAATGTTGAATACAGAATGGGGTGAGAAGACAAAAGTCAGCAGTTTAGACATCCTCGCTCGCCTCAAATCCAGTGCAGTTCTAATTGGAAGCGTGCGAGTGTTGCATTTGTGCGCATGAGCACATTGCTGGAAATGGCCCTCTGTGTGTCCAGTGCTCAGTCAATGAACTCTGATTCTTCACAGGCACCAGCAGACAACGTATCTCCAACCGGTACTGGTCATGTGCTGTCCATTCAGCACCAATCTTTAGTGGTCAGTGAAGCACCTGTAATAGAATAATAACAGTTATTAGTCACAGGCATACACCAAAAATGAATACAATTCATTTATAAGATGTGTTGGATAAAAACTGAGGCTTTTCAACCAGAAGGTAATCAAGAAAAAGATATAGAGCTTGTTTCTAATGTTATGTATATATGCTGTTATAATAAAAAGTCAAGGATTCTATTATTATTATTTAACTGGAGGCCCCTGGTTTGGCCAAGGGGCCCATGGGTAGGCTATGTAAAAAAAGTTGGGTCTGTAAGCGCCAAAAGAAAAAAAAAATTCTCGTACCTGATTCATATCTGTCGAACCATGTGGTGAAGTCCAGCAGCTCTTGTTCCTCAGAGCTGAGAGGCTCATAGCTGCCTTCATCAGAGGAGTACGCAGAGCGAGGTGACTCCGTGCCCGCGGAGTACGCGTTGGAGACCGATGGAGACGAGACACCACACTGCAACACAGCAGACACGGCGTCGTGCTCGTCCAGCAGCTGCTGAAGCGCTCGGATGTACTCCACTGCCGAGCGCAGCGTCTCCACTTTGCTCATCTTCTTGTTCGCCGCTCCATTCGGCACATGCTGGCGAAGCGTCTGGAAGCCCATGTTCACCTGCTTGACGCGGTTTCTTTCGCGCTCGTTCCGTCTGGCCACCGCCATGGGCTGCTGTTGAGGGATAGTATAGCCGAGTCCGTTGAAGGTCAGTCTCCTCTTGCACCTGAGTAACTCTGGGCTGCTCGAGCGCTGTCTCTTCAGCACTTTACACTCCATGTCCTGCTTCGCATGAGGCAGGAGGGTCTCCGAAAACGGCTGATAAAACGAGTCTTGCGTTATTTGCGTCTTCGCGATGACAGTTGCCTCCATGTCGCGTCAAATAAATAGATAAATAGATGAGGTAAGGAGTTTGCAAGTAATGCGCCGCTCTCGTGCCTTTCGCGTGGCTCGCAAGAAGCGATAACTTACACCTGTTCGGCAAATGATTTGAGGGGAAAGCAACTTGCTCTCCCTTTTCTACACGTGCGCCACACCTCCACCCCCTTTCGGGCCGCACGCTCCCAAAGAAAGACCCCGCCCCATGCATGAATCCCCTGCTCGGGCTTCGTGCGCCGGGCGCGTGGCTTTGACAAACTCAAAGGAACTATTCTGTGCGCTCACTGCGCCACGCGTATGAGGCATTGCATCTCTGTGGAATCATGCTCACCCGGCGCACGCGTACATGTTCCGTGTTGTGGAATGTAAAGGGCCAACAATTGATATTAAATAAAACGATGGAGTGATGTCAGTTTTTAGAAGTATAGTTCGTCAGTCTGCGCTGTGGTTTATTACCTAACAGCATAAGACGTGCATGTTATGTGCCAAAAAGTAGGCTATCGTGCTACAAATAACCTAGAACCATCATCAACATGGAACAGCACAGTTTTGTTAAGGGCATTATGCAAACAAGTAGCCTAAAAGAGAAATTACATTTGAATATAATAACTTTTATCCTCTTGATTGCATAGCAGCCTAAGGAGAAAAAATACATTTATAAAGACTTTTTTTTTTTTTATCATAGTTTAGATTTTGATCCGATTTTTGAAACATTGTTGGGATCATATGTCTCCACAAGCATAGTAAAACCTGAAATCGCCTACATCAGCCGGTCCTATAATATAGCCTACTATTGAGGGGGAAAAATAATGAACAGGACATGTACTGGGAAAACAGGACTGTTGGCCACCCAAGCCTTTACAAGGTGTTTGTGCGTGCGCGCGCGCACGTGCCCAACCCCATATATATATATATATATATATATATAGACCATTTCAAAAGATGTAAACAACACTGGTCCAGAAGCACTTCCTGTTTCAGTTTTTTAACACTACAAAAAAGCTGGGATAAAATACAACCAACAGAACATTTAAAACTGAATCAAAAAGTTAAACAAACATCTTTAAGATGTTTTCTTTACATGTGAAATAAAGAAAACCGTTACAAACTGAAACAGGAAGTGCTTCTGGACCAGTGTTGTTTACATCTTGTGAAATGGTCTATATATATATATATATATATATTGTGTGTGTGTGTGTGTGTGTAAAAATGCTACTTGTGTTGAAAGCCTTTTTTAGCTAATTAAAAGCAAATGATCTGACAATAAAAGACTTTGTAAATTCCATGGTATTTTGGTAGGTGGATAACTTTATTGGACAATTTCTAACATGATAAAGCCAGGACTCCAAAACAGCAAGACTTCAGCCCTCGAAAAAATAGTTCTCAAACAAAATGTGTAACTTAAATGAATAGATCACCCCCTAGCGGCGACAATATGTTTCTACAAGACAGCTTATCCATTGAACAAAAGTCTTTCTGAGTGATTAGACAACAAAAATGTTGTGTATTTTAACCTAAATAACGTTTGATTGTGCATTCTATAAAAAAAAATTAATAATTATACATATATACATACATTACCTATTAAATAGGATGTACGCTACTAGTTCATTGGTTTTTGAGCAATTCTATTTGTCGAAATGTGTCAAAAATATTAAGACAGTATTTTGTGCTCACAATCAAGTTGATTATTAAATAATTTATCAATCACATAAAACTTTTTGTACTCACAATCAAGTTGATTATTAATAAATGTATCAATCACATAAACCTTTTACATCAAATCAAGTCATTTTTTTTATTTGTTCTGTGTTGCATTATTATTTCATGTGTCCTCCATTCAGGTCTGCATCAGGAGCTGCATACAAAAATGTAATTACAAAGAATTATAAAAGTCAGAAGAATAAGTGTGTGCTATATTTTTTTGTAAACAAATGCATTTACTTCTAGGGAACAGCAACTCTGTCCTTCGTTGGTGACCATAACGGCAAGTTAAAATCTCATCTAGTCCTCTATAAGACAAAACACAGTATTCAGTCACTTGATTGTATCTTAATACGATTAAAAACAAGATGCCAAACATATAATTTGATAAAAGAATATGACTATACAACAAAAGCAAAAATGCTCAGTTAAGAACACAAAAGAGGACGAATCAAATGACAACTTACACATTAAATGGGTTCGTTCCGGAATCTTCTAGCTCTAACCATTCTTGCCAGTAATTCCATTTAAAGAAGTCATTACAGTCCTGGGCCTTGCAGGGACTGTGGACAATCTGGTACAACCCTTGCCACTGCTCTGTCAGTGTGTTCAGGCATTTCATAATCTCCCTTATCACTATCCATGCATTCTGGATGTCTTCTGAGGATTCAACTACAGGAAGAAACACTTTTAAGTATAATATAATAATTTAGATGTCTATATGAAGAAGACAAAGTGATGACAACATTAAAGCTCCAGTCCGTAATTTTTCCTCTTTGTCACCATGCAAATGATACTTTGTTCTCAAATTGTTAATGTTAACTTCAAAACACAGAGTTCACGTAACCTTCCAAAAGCCCTTCCGATATTTATCCTTGTTTTCACATGGGCCTTGTTGCTGTCTCTTTTTTTCTCTAGCCACTCCAAAGTCTTTTGTATTTTACAGCAGGTGAATCTGTTGTCACTGGTGATTGTCGTTTGAACCTTTCTGAATCCACCATCCAATTGATAATTTTAATTATATCAAGTGCTGTGAGAAAAGGCTATAAATCTCCACCTCCAACATCCTGACACGCAATATATCCAACTAGACGAGAGTCTTCATGTGTACAGATGTGACGTAATGACTCAATATAGTCTACTAGCCGAGACTCTTCTTTATGTGTACAGATGTGATGTAATTACTTAATAAATATATCCTACTAGCCGAGACTCTTCTTTATGTGTACAGATGTGACGTAATGACTCAATATATCCTACTAGCCGAGACTCTTCTTTATGTGTACAGATGTGACGTAATGACGCAAAGAAATGCTTGAATCTCCCGCGGAAATCCACCAGTACCACTGGAATTAAAAACATTATTACAAGCTTACCGCTTTGAATCAAGCTAAGGCAACTGGCTCTTTATGTGCTTGCTCAAAAACTTATTTTGGATCATTTTTAACCCAAAAAAGTTACGGACTGCAGCTTTAAGAAAATGTACATTATCAACATTAAGTACAATGCATGCTACTTGTACATGGTACTTTTTTTTGTGAGCTATTATAATGGTAACACTTTACTTGAAGGGGTGTGCATAAGACTGACATGACACCTTCATAACCATGACATGACATATGTCTTGAATATAAAGTAAGGTTTATGCATGTTTATGACAACTGTCATGAAGTGTCTTTCGCTCAATAATGACATTTTGAATGCAAATATGACATAGTTTAAGATGTCTTTGTTATGACACCTTGACATAGACCATAACATCATATCCTGTCAGTGTCTTTGCTGGTTGGCTTTGACATTGGCTGTCATGAGGCCCTAATAATTGTGTCATGAATATTTTCCGTGACCTCAACTACAGTGGTACTAATTGAATTTGTCATTAAAAAGTTATAATGGCTCCATGACAGCCAAATGTCAAAACCAACCACCGGACTGTTTAATGTAATGTTAACCAATAAAGCTAAGTGGTTTCTTAAGTTTTGATAATTAATCTGCCATGTCATGTTTATGAACAGGTTGTGTTGTCTTAGTAATGTCAAGTTGTCATGACAAAGACACTGACAGGTTATGATGTATTAGTTTATGTCAAGATGTCATAAACAAAGACATCTCAAAAATGTCATATTTGCATTCAAAATGTCATAACTGAGCAAATGACACTTAATGACAGTTGTCACAACCATGCATAAAACTTCCTTCATATTAATAACATATGTCATGATTATGAAGGTGTCATGTCAGTCTTATGAACACCCCTTCAAGTAAAGTGTTACCCATTAATCAAAAAGAGGGGTCTTACGTTCACTCTCTTTGCAGCGGATCTCAATGAACTGATCCTCATCATGGCATTCTCTGAGCAGAAAACGTTTGTTGCCTCTGCACAGCATGCACTGGTCTTTTCCTATCCAGTATGGAGAGTATAAGAAGCATGTCCTGATGACAAGCCTGTAAAGCGACAGTTTTACAAGTCATACTAGTCATTTATATGGTAATACATTCACAATCAAATCAGCTTAAATTAGCTTTTTGAGCAAATTATTCTTGTATCTGGGTTGATCTAGGCAATTCCCTTACAAGCAAATAGAGTGAATAAATCCAAAATGTTCTTCAATGTCATATATTTCATTATTTTGTCTAAAAAAAGACAAGCATAAGCCTTCACCTGTGGAAGAAACCATGTGGAATCTCAGGTAGGAGGTATACATGGACATTGAGGTCTTCTGTATGGTCTGATTCCCACTTTTGCTTTACCTGTTCATTGTCTGACAGGTAATGTGGGAAAAGACAAGCATCTGGCTCGTACACAATTGGATTTGAGGCCTCCCAAACTTGCTTTGGCCAGAATTCGTTGGCTTTTGGATTGAGAGGACTGTTATGTTTAGTTGGCAAACATACATCAAAGTGTTTTAGTAGCTCTAGGAGACTCCCCTTCTTATTTTTGGACCCAACAACCTCCTGAATTAGCTCTTCATCATTCTCGCCATAATTCTTCTGGAGCTCAGTCCGCACAAGGATCCTAATAGCCACATTGCTTAAGGATGCTCTGTCTTTATAGTCACTGATCCATATTTTCTTTTCTCTAACTAGTGCGTTTTCTGACTTCAGCTGTGCAGGGGAAATCTTGTTCAGTTCCTGGACCAGGTCATGTCTCACAATAGTCTGTGACAGAATCAAAAGAAATAAGTGATGAAGTATTTTAAGTGATACACGGATTACATTTAACGCGTGCAGTTTAAATGTTTAATGCATGAACCTTGAACAGTGAGATGAGGAAAGATGGTTTCACAAACACAGAACCTGCCAATTCTGGGATTTCCTTGTACCACATAATGACACCAATTCGGTGAAGATACTGAAGAATTAACTTCAGTTGGTCATCGTCCAGTGTGTCATGTCTACTCTTAAGTTCAGGCAAGAGGACATTTTGACTCACATATCCTGTTATTAGGTGCAAATTTCAGACTTTAGAAAATCATTAATTAAAGAAACTAATTAAAGAACAAAACAAAACAAAAAACTACACACCATGCTTTGGAATATCCTCGTTCTTCACAAGTTCGTAGATATCCTTCTCCACATCATAGAAGCTCCTAGGTAAAGTCTTTTCAATGTTGGGGAATGTATCCTTGTTCAAAACATAA